CATAATCTTCATTTAGGCCATCAAGGATTGCATCAATATGATCTTCGGAGTTGATTGGAGAACCTGATGCAACCAAGGAATCAACTATTTTTTTGATTTGCAACAGGTATTGAGAGACATTCGTTTCTTTCTTGATGTTCTTGAGTTGAATTTTCAGCTGTTTGATCTTTGCTCTTGTTTGGGAGGCAAAGAATTCTTCAACTTTCTGTCAAACTTGGAATGAGTTGGAGCAACCTACCATGCGTGTGTAGATGGTTTCAGACATGGAAGAGAGAAGCCATGATAGGAGAAGTTGATCTTGCTGAGTATCAATAGAATCTGGTTCAGGTGAGATCTGTTTGCCTGTCTTCGCAGATGTACTGGTTTTGTCTGCTGCTGCACTCGTCTTTTCTGTTTCTTCTTGAGAATCTTGATGTGATTCATGCGAAGTCTTTGCAGTAGGGACTTGAGTCTCTTTCTCAATGAATCTGGTCAGATTATAAACTTTGATTGTTGCCAGGGCTTGCTGCTTCCATGGCAAGAAGTTGTTTTCATCAAGCTTGAAGGATAGTGGGTTGGCAAAATATTGAATTGAATTTCGCTTTTCGGTCTCCATGGATCACAAGCTCTAGATACCATGAAAGATATTGAGAGATGGAGTAAAAAGAAAGAAAGTGTAAACTGAATAATACTTTGTATATTGAATTGTTGATCAGTGATTACACAATGATACAATATATACTGATATTGACTTAACAGATTAACTAACTAATGGATTGGGCTTATGGACTTAATGGGCCCAATAGGATATGTATCCTTTCAGTGATTGTGCAAGAATTTTAAGAGAAATTTTTTGCTGCAGAGGTCAATCATTTCATCTTTTTAATATTTAAAGCAATATTTAACACTTATTAAAATATTTTAAAGATAAATATTTTTATTGTAGCTCCCATAATTTTATACATCTTAAATAAAAAATTGAATATTTATAATTAATCATGCTAATTAAATATGCGCTCAAGGATTTTTAACGAGGTTCCAATTTTATTTTTAGTTTTATTTCAATACCCGGATCTCTATTGCGATTTGTCAAACGCATGTTAGGAGATTCTAGTTGTGTTACGCTTTTTAGAAATAAGATACGTCGTTGCCTGGTTTATCTAAAATCTAACTTCACTCATCTCATTTGATTAAACAAATTAGGTTCAAGATTTTTAAAAAGGTTAATTAGTTAAATAAATTTGAATTTAAGTCTTTAAAAAATATTTTAGATTTGGTGAGATGATATATTTATATATTATATGTATGGGAGGAGTTATATTTACCACCTAAATAGTTTACAAACTCTTACAACCATATCTTAACCGTTGATTTTTGTCAATCAACGGTTGTCATTTATTTTGAATTAATAATTAATTAATAAATTTAATTTGCAAAAATCTAAACCGTTGATTGATGGAAATCAACGGGTTAAGATATGATTGTAAGAAGTTGTAAACGAAAATAGGTTGTAAGTATAACCTTCTCCTATATGTATATATATAATTAAATTTATTTGACTTATTTAAAAAGCTTAATCGACTAGTTTATTAGTCTATTCTCCAATTTAAAAATAAGCTTTATCGTTTTTTCTGTTACATGAGATAAAAATATCTCCAACAACCTCAAAACTACGGCATTTTGAGAGTTGAAAGAATTAATGAATGGTGTTTTAATAAAATTTCTATTGTAACTACATGCCTTAATTATTGTAATAATAGGTGTAAAGTGGATTAGTGTTTAAGGTCTTTGCAATTTGATTGAATATTTTATGCATGGTAAATAGTTTATGTCAAAATTTGAATATTTTATGTTACTTACACTATAAGAAAAGCGGTCTTTAGCTATATATGTTTTGTCACATTTGATAAAATCATCATAAAATCATAAAAATATCCTTAAATTTACTTATTACCCTAGGAAAAAAAACAACGCTTTCTGACTTGAGCAAAACCAAAAACACAAAAGCTCAACTCTTTGATTTCTTCATTAGATCTTCAATTTAATTGAATAGTTTTAATTTTTAATTTATTTCATCTTTCTTCAAATCTCCATCCCAACAATCATAGCTTCAAAGTTTTTTTCCGCTTTTTATTCTACCTTAGCATTTCTTCACCTTCATCTTTAAAACTTCTCTAATGGAATATCTATAAACCCTTGGAAAATCTATTTAATTACTCTTTGCTTCTTCTATTATATATATCCATTAAATTATTTCTTTTCTCTAAAGGTTCCTCGCTCTATTTTCTCTCTTCCTCTATTTTCGCTCTCACTCTTTGAATAAACTGGTCAATTTTTGTAACTCAATTTTGCCATCATCGATTAGGGTTTCTTCAATTCTTAGTTGATCACATGATCCTGCCGTCCAGCTATTCTCAAGTACCGTTTTTTCTTACATTTTGAAAATGAAGGTATATATGCCTAATATGTATTTCTTTTAATCCGTTTCTTAGTTTATTTTGAAGTACACGTTACGTTATCTAGATATACTTTTTACCTTATGAATAATTACAAACGTATATAAATCCATAATTTAATAAAATAATTTAAATACATGCATAGGTAGAATAACAAATCCTAGGCTATTTATTTAATTACATATAAATAAGACTCCATCAATATTAAATGTGTCATAAATTTTTTGACATAAACAATACTTACGTATGATAACTCTATAAAATAAATTTAAGAAAGAAAGGTTAAGTAAAACCTGTTGTAAAATATGAATTTTATATGTGGATGGTTATTGGAATACAATTATGTATCCTTTTGTTTACATATGAATTTTTGTATGAAATGTATCTATCATACTAATGGTGTATTCGAATACAGATTGATGTACATTTCCATCAAATTAAAATGTTAGTATTTATAACAAGCATTCTTTAATTTTTTTTGTATCGTCATTTGTTTGGTAAATTACCTTTTGGTATTTAAGTTAATTTTGTGATGATATGCATGTTAGTATGTTACTATGCATTCACGAAGCAACTTCTACATCTGCTGAGGTGCCTAAACGCACTGGAATGCTATGTTTCCAAAACCAGGTCAAACATTACAAGTTGTGAACTTTTTTCTAGATACTGATGCCTAAAAATATAGCTCACATGCTAATACCATATAATGGTTTGGACTAACAAATAATTACACATATATGGTAGGGCAAGCTTGCCATTTATGGATGAGAGGAACCATATGAAGACGTTGCTTCTTGATTCATAATTGCAATTACTGTCACTTTATGTCAAATTTTGTTACGTATAAATTTTACTCAGAGTGATTACAGGATGAAAATTAATGGCTCGGTATCCTAGACCTTGACTCGTTACCTCGCCCATTGAATATTTTTACCAACCAGCTATTGAACTCGAATAAGAGCAAATTATCGTGACTATATATGCATTAACATACTGTTTGGTAGAAGATTTATTTTAGAATTGATGGGAAAGTGTAAGTGGATATTGAAAAATAACACGTTTGTGGTTCAGGTTTTTGTAAAAAATACTAGGCAAATAGGATAGATGGAGAAATTACTTTTGTGTTAATTTTTGGATGAAATTCACTGTTGCCGAATACCACTTGAGATGTGGTATTTTGAGATAATTAGGGAAGTGAAAAAACAGGTGCGAAGTTTCTCCCGAACATAAATTTTGCAAATTTAAATAAATTTTTCAGGTAATATTTCGGTCAACCAAAAACTTTTTTTACATTTTTTACCAAACTCACTTTCCTAGTAATTACATTTCCCTAGTATTCAAAAATCCATGATGATAGTTTTCGAAGGCCAAGCAATGATAAGTGTGTCATTTCTGATTTTATTGCGCATTTAATTGAAGCTAGAGGTAAGAATAGAAGCATTCTTGGCCGCTTCCCTAATGCCCATCAGCCTACTAAATGGTGTCGTCCTGAACCTGGTCGGTTGAAGATTAAACAGATGGTGCTTCTTCCCTATCTAGGCAGCATGCTAGCTGTGGAGGCCTTGCTAGAGATCACAATGGTGCTTTTCTGGGTGGTTTCTCTTTCAGGTTAGGTTTCTGTAATCCTCTTGATGCAGAACTCTGGGGTATCCTCAAAGGTTTAGAGCTGGCCTGGGGTACTGGTGCTAGGAGAGTGGAGTTGGAATGTGACTCAGAAATTGCTCTTAGCACTATCCAAGAAGGGAGCAACAATCACAGAAACTCTCAGGTTGTTTCCCGTATTCACAAATGGCTTGCTGAAGATTGGGATGTTCGTTGGGTCCACACCTTTCGAGAAAATAACAGATGTGCTCACTGGTTTGCTTCTAGGCATTTTGAGGATGATAATAATCTTATTGTTTATCATTCTCCTCCTTCTCCTTTGTTAGAGCTCCTTCTTCAGGATGCTTCTGTAGATCTTTTAAGTTCTCGCGTCGTGTAATTTTTGTTTTGTTCGGGGCTTTTGCCCCTCTTTATTACAAAAAAAAAAAAAAAAAAATTCTCTTCAACCAAATGCTCCCTAAGTGTTATGTTATTTACATATCATATTAATTTTTAAATTTTTTGGTTCAAGAAAAAGAGAGTTATTATTAGAGAAGCTTATAAAAATGATGTAATAAAAATAATATATGAATTTCAATATTTAACTTAAACTGATCATTCTTAAGATAACCTCCAAAAAAAATATATATGTATATAAATTCTTAAGATTCGAGCAAAGCTGTTTTCACTTTGTTGTCCAGTAGTTAGCACTAATACTCAAAGACTAAAAGTAGATGAAGGTTGAGATGTGACAATTATGAATCACCGGCCAATAAAATCTATTTCCAAACAAGTTTGAAACTTTTGAGTTTTGTCCATGTTTGTTATAAGAACTATATCATCAGACGTCCATAGGTCTATGGGTATTAATGGTACGTACTCTCCTTCACACTATAAATACACGTCCTTGCCAAGATTTGTAATCACAAGCAAAGCAAGTGTTTTCAGTTTCAGCTCTATTATTTTCTCTCTTTGTGCAAAGATATGGGGAAATTACAAAAGTATGTTGGAATGCTTGCTGGGATATTTGTATTGGCGATTGGAATAGCGGAATGCCACCGAAAAATTAAAGATGATGAATTTCTTGACGGCTTTGGAGGAGGTGGCATGGGTGCTGGTGGTGGTGGAGGTTTTGGTGGGGGTGCTGGTGCTGGTGGAGGTATAGGAGGAGGCGCAGGCGGTGGTGTAGGAGGTGGAGCTGGTGGTGGCTTTGGAGGTGGTGCAGGTGGGGGAATTGGAGGTGGGCAAGGCGGTGGAGTAGGGGGAGGAATGGGTGGTGGTGGAGGCGCAGGTGGAGGTGCTGGTGGAGGCTTTGGAGGTGGTGGTGGTGGCGGCTTTGGAGGTGGTGCAGGGGGAGGTGCTGGTGGTGGATTTGGAGGTGGTGCAGGTGGGGGCGCTGGCGCTGGCGCTGGCATTGGCGGCGGTGCTGGTGGCGGAGCTGGTGGAGGGGCTGGCGGCGGCTTTGGTGGTGGTGGATTTTGAATTTAAAAATTCTTATACTGTCATGCAAGTGTAATGCTCATATTCATGTCATGGTGGAAATTAAAGTACGTAATGAAGATTAATGAAATAAATGACAGGTTCTCTGTCATAATCTTCTCCTTTGGCTTACGACCTTATCAGCACTTGATAAAGCAGTGTATAAGCTGGCATTGATCTGGTTTTATACCAATCAACTTACACAAAATAAACCAAAAATAAAATTAAAAACGGCACGTGGCACTTTTAAACTGGACATGAAATTTGAATCAGTTCTTTAACAACTTGGATTCTATCCATGATTATGCATACGTAAATGGATACATTCCGCAATTTCAATTTCAAAATTAATCAATATATTTTTTCATCAACATATGATTAATTTTTCACAAGTTCTCTTCCACTTTAAATATTCTTTCCATATATATTAAAAATAAAATTAATTGAAAATATGAAAAGGTGAACTTGCAACACGAAAAGGTGAACTTGCTTCCGGAAGTGATATACCACTAATTTCTTTTCAATTTTTATTTTTATTTTTTTGTAATTCGTGCTTAATTGCGAAAAGGCCATACTTTAGTTGGGGATTTCTTACGCTGCGCCATCAGCGTAGCTCCAAGGGCTGAACCCTTTTAGCGCAACGTCGTTCACGAAGAGGTCCAGGTAAATTTAAAAGCGTGAAGAGTATAATCATATAAATAATTAGATTAAATTTAAAATTATTTTATAAGTTATAATTCACAAAATATAACTCTACAGTCATTGCGCTAATTTGACTGTAGAATTATTTCCCTGTACATCTTACATCTGATAAAGACAAACGTTTTAGTGACTAGCTCTTTCATTTTTTGAGCAGTGAGCCAGTGACTGTACGTGCCATGAATTTGAAGAGAAATTTTTAGCTGGAGATGGTCAATTCTATCATTTTTTTAATATTTAAATCATTATTTAACACGTATAAAAATAGTTTAACGATAAATATTTTTATTGTAGCTCCCATAATTTTATATATCTGAAATAAAAATTTGAATATTTATAATTAACCATACATAGATTTTTAACGAGGTTCCAATTTTATTTTTAGTTCTATTTCAATACACAGATCTCTATTGCGATTTGTCAAACGTATGTCAGTCAGGAGATTCTAGCTAGAGCCGTCAAAACTGGCTCGGCTCGGCGAGCCAATCCGTTCAACATGTCAAACGGGGTAAGGCGGGCTGAGTTTTTCAACCCATCCAAAAGCGGGACTGGGCGAGGCGAGCTCATTTTTTCGCGGGTTGATGGCGGGCCGAGGCGGGTCAATGTAAAATAGGCTCGGACTGGCGGGCCAACCCGCTCAACCCGCCAAACGAGGCGGGGCGGGCAGAGTTTTTCAGCCCACTTTCAAAAGCAGGGCAGGTCGGGTTGACTCATTTTTTGACAGGTTAATAACGGGGTGGGCGGGCCGCCCACTTTGCCACCTCTAATTCTAGCTGTGTTACGCTTTATTACGGTTAGAAATAAGATACTATGTTGGCTGGTTTATTTAAAATATAACTTCATTAATCTCATTTGATTAAACAAATTAGATTAAAGATTTTTAAAAGGTTTATTTAGTTAAATAAATTAGAATTTAAGTCTTTAAAAAATCTTTTAGATTTAGTGAGTTGATATATTTATGGGTTCACTTTTTCTAAAGTTAATGTAAATAATTTATCTACATTAAGCTCAAAATGACGTCGTTTTGAGACGGAAATCAAAGTATTTTTGTAATTATAATTTATTCTAGGGTTATAATAGTCTTTTTCATTATAATTTTTTAATTTTTTAACCCAAAACGACGTCGTTTTGGGAGTGAATGTAGATAACTTATCTACATTCACTTTAGAAACATTAAAGCCTATATTTATATATTATATGTATACACATAATTAAATTGATTTGACTTATTTAAAAGGCTTAATCAACTAGTTTATTAGTCTATTGTCCAAATTAAAAATAGAATTTATCGTTTCTCCTATCACATGAGATAAACATATTTCAGCAACCCTAAAATTATGTCATTTTGAAGACTGTGGGAATTAATGTATGATGTTTTGGTAAAATTCATATAATAAAAAAGTAAAATCCTAAAATATCTTTCATTAGTTTCTCCAATCGTCAAAATGATATAGTTTTAAGGTTGCCGGAAATAACTTTTTCTCTTGATACAGGAGAAATATTTTTTCCTTAAAAATAAGCTTATGATTTATTTAAACGCCTTGAATAATGCAAAAAAGGCATTCGAATAAATTTTCAAGATACACTAGGATTTAAAAAAAAATCATGTTAATTGAATCCTAAAAACATAATATGAAATAATAAACTAAGATCAAGCCTTTTATTTTAAAATTATTATATTTAAAGTGAAGTTTGAGTTGTCTATCCTATTATCGGTCTTAATTGCGTTTAAGCATATAACAGAAAAAAATAAGAAGGATTCTCCAAAGTGTTTGAGAATTTTGGGAAGCAATTACAGATTCTATTATCAAAACCATTCTCAAATCAGTCAATAAAAAATTTAGTGAACTAAGTGGAATGATAGATGAATCTAATGTCTTAAATTTCGGATTAAGAGATCAGTTTCACTTATTATCATTAGTAATCAGCCAACCATGGGCTCCTTACTAAAGTGGAGGGAAAGTCTGCAGTAGCACATGTTTATTGACATATTTCCCCACAGGCAATTGCAATAAAAATAAGAATTTTTCTCGTTTACCTATATCTAAAAAGAAAAGTTTACATAAATTAAGTATACGGGTATGGAATTAAAAATTAAACTGGGCTTGACAAAATGAATTTTAAATATTAAAAAATATTTTCATAATTTAATAAAAAAAATTAAAATTTCAGTATAATTCACTCTCACTCTCTCTCATTGTTGTCAAAAACTAGTGTAAAAACGTAAAAACTTACGTTTTTACGTTTGTGGTGCGTGTTAAAATGCAAGTAAAAATGGTCCTTGATAAAAGCTGGTAAAAACGCCGTGTAAAAACAGTAAGTTTTTACTTAAAACGAAATTTTTTTAAAAAAAAAAAAGATTTACAAAAAAGGAAATTAAAAAAGAAAACCCAATTTTCGTTTTCCCTAAATCATATGCAGATATCTTCATATCTTTTTGTTTGGATATATGTCTTTTATAATTATGTCTTATAAAACTGCAATTCTATTATAAGTTATGCTATGAGAATTGTTTTGTGTTTTTGAATCATTGTGTGCATTGAAAGAAGTGAAATTATATCCTGATGAGCGATGATTCAAAATTGCAGAGCGTATGAAGCAGTTAGAACAGATTGGTTATCCATTACTTATTAGTTATCACTGTTTATAATTTTGATATTTGGTTATCAAAAATAATTTTCCTTTTTAGATAGATAAGTGGTCAACATACATCTTTATTATGTGATATTTTTTTTACATGTATATATATAATTTTATATCTCGATGTTAACTAGTATAATGTAGAAATTTTACGTTTCGTGTCGTTTTTACATTTTACATTTTTACCACCCCTTTTCGTTTCTACGTACAAAGTTTTGGCGCGCTCTCTCTCTCTTTACTTGGCCTTTTTCTTATTCTCTCTAGTCTTTGCTGCCTAATTTGGAACAACTCAGGTCCACACCAGATATCAGAAAAACTTGAAAGCCTTCTTAAAATTTAATCCCAAATATGGTTGAATTTGGCCCATTCTGTTATCAACTCTCTCTTTTTTTGGGCCCCTGGGTTAACATCAGCACCCTCAGTACCATTTTCTAAAAATATTCATTCGGTTGCTTAAGGTTGAATTTTACAATCTTGAAAAGGATATCGTTCATGCACACCCTCTACAATCAATATTCAGTAATGCCTTATTAATTTGAATTGTGTATAAACACAAATTTTGACCGCATTAATGCCACAAACTACCCTTGGCAGTTTTTTATTCTGTACAAGCACAATGCTGAAAGCCCATACCTTTCGTCCACTGCGCCAGACAATCATGAAATTTCAGACGTTGGGAGTTGAAATTCTCACAAATTATTTATCTAAAAATTGATAATAACTCAAAGTCAATGGGCACAAAGTTAAGAAAAGCAATATCCAATGTTAGTTTACAAATTAAAAAAATAAAGGGCAATCAACATTACTTCTCAACTTCAGTTGAGGATATGGCAAGTTCCAAGTCAAACTGCCCCCATTACAGTTTACGCGGTTATGAACATGATGCCAGACATGTTCAACAGGTATGGGCCATCCTCATTCCTTACTATTGATAGCTGCATTTCATTCCTAAACCTTTTAGGTGTTTAACAATTGATATGTGCTCTTCATTCTTCCACATGCTGTGCACCATTAATAAAGAAAATGAATTGCTACTGGGTAGGTTTCTATTTGGCAAAAGTTGCAAACATAAATAGTTCATTACTTTTTTTTAACTAGAATGCATTTAATTTCAAAGACGTGAAAATTCATTGCTTTTGAACTTCGAACAACCTCTTGCATTGTTTAATGGATGGAGAAGATTTTTAAATTTTGAACCTTGTAAGAATGCACTGATGAAAATAATTAAAGCAGTGATGAAAATATTAATTGGGGAAAGTTCCTGAAAACATTAAATACTTCCTTACTTTGCGTTCTTCTTTTTTTCTTTCTTATTTTACCGGAATGCATTTAATTGCAAAGACGTGAAACTTCATTGCTTTTGAACTTTGAACAACCTATTGCATTGTTAATAGATTAAGAAGTTTTTAAATTGTGAACCTTGTGAGAATGCACTGATTTCATAATATTGCATATAAACTTTCCATAATATTAATTGAGGTTTTATTAATCTCATGCTAAAGAAGATAGTTATCTCATGTCATAGAGATAAACTAGTGGGCTCTACCACCTGAAAAAAAAAAAAATAAATAACACAATTATCGAAGAGTGTGTAGGAGAGAAAACTTATGTCATGTGACATAAGAATAGTTTTTCCCTATTAATTGACACTTTAAAAGCTTTATTTTTTTTTATTTTAAACAAATAATAAGAGGTTAACTTTTTTCTTTTCTTTTTTTAGTTTTGTCCTTATCTGTTGTCATCTCTGCTGAGTGAAATAAGAGACAGTATTAATGTAGTGAAGAAGTAATTTAATCTAACGCATTTTTTATATTTTTTAATTTAAAATATTTAATAATATTCAATAATTTTTTCTATAAAATATTAAATGATAATATTTTAAGATGGAAGGAATAAGAAAATAAATTAATATACTTAAAGGAAATGATGGATGAGTATGCTGGGGACCGGTGAAGAAGGCAAAGGAGTGGATGGATCGAAAGAAAGCTAGGTGTAATGCCTTAAGAATTGTCGTGGTGGAATATAATGTTTTTTCTAAAAAAATTATGATGGAAATCATGGAATACATGTTTTTACAATTGCAAGTAGTGTTTATTGTTTTTTTCCTTTTAACTGCCCAACCAAACATAAAAGTGACTTATTCTCATTTGTATATTTTCATTTTCAATCCCATTTATTCCCTCCAGCCAAACGATCACGGCTTGAAGTTCTACATGCAGGGCAATTAATGTTAGTTCGTTACATGCGTTGACGTTCTCATTTGTTATATAATATTCCATTAGTATTAGCTGGAGGCAATGTTTTGTGCACATTATAAAGCTGGTTTTGGTGTATTTTAGCATAGGGATACAAAGCGTAACCGAGAATCCTGATTCAGAACTTCAGTGTAGTGAAAATATATAGTACACTTTCTAATGGGTATAGATTTGAATAGGGTCATCATTGATGAGATTGTGCTTCGAGTTTTCATAGTTGTAATCTTGTTTAGGATTTCAACTTCAGACGATCTCCCTGCAAATTTTGTATTCGGAGATTCTCTTGTTGATGCTGGGAACAATAATTACATTGTTACCTTGTCAAAGGCTAATTTTTTACCCAATGGTATTGATTTTGGAAAACCAACAGGGAGGTTCACTAATGGAAGAACCATTATCGACGTCATAGGTAAGATTTACTATATTGTTTCCCCTACTTATCTGCTGCTAGTTTTTTTTTTTTTTTTTTTTTGTCCGATGAGTTTTTCTTGCACCACCAGGTCAGGAATTGGGTTTCCGTTTCACCCCACCTTATTTAGCACCCACTACAGTTGGACCAGTGGTTCTGAAGGGTGTCAATTATGCCTCTGGTGGAGGTGGAATTCTCAATCTCACAGGAAAAGTCTTTGTGAGTTTCTGCTTCGGTTGGTTGGTGTTGTTTAAGCTCCAATTTTCCATTGAATGGAATAACAACAATTTGCTTATGATGTGATTGATAGGGTGGTAGACTCAACTTAGATGCACAAATAGATAATTTTGCAAATACCAGGCAAGACATCATCTCCAGCATTGGCGTTCCCGCTTCTCTCAATCTATTCAAAAGGGCATTATTTTCGGTGACAATAGGCTCAAACGATTTCATTAATAACTACTTAACACCTGCAGTCACATTTCCTGAGCAGATATTGCAATCTCCAGAACTCTTTGTGACCACCATGATATCAAAACTCAGAGCACAGCTAACAGTAATATGTCTCAGAACTTATAATCCTTGTTTCTTCTCCTCTAAATTTTGGTTTTAACATTTCTACCATTTGCAGAGGTTATTCAATCTGGGAGCCAGAAAATTTGTTGTGGCAAATGTGGGGCCTATTGGGTGTATACCAAGTCAGAGAGATGCAAACCCAGCTGCAGGAGATAGCTGTGTCAGTTTCCCCAATCAGTTAGCACAATTATTTAACACCCAGTTGAAGGGACTTATTGCAGAACTCAGCTCAAATCTTGCGGGTTCAATGTTTGTTTATGCAGATGTCTACAACATTTTAGAAGATATACTACAGAATTACGTAGCATTTGGTATGTGTATTGTGTGGCAATTAATCTATTAGAACCTTAAATTTGCATGGTATTTTTGAACTGATAATCAGGGCCCATTTTATTTTATTTTTATTGTGTATTTGTGACAGGTTTTGATAATCCATCTAGCGCTTGCTGTTACATGGCTGGGCGCTTTGGAGGTCTGATCCCCTGTGGTCCTACATCGAAAGTTTGCTGGGACCGATCCAAGTATGTGTTCTGGGACCCATATCATCCATCTGATGCTGCAAACGTTATTATCGCTAACCGCCTCTTAGATGGTGGTTCCAAAGATATTACGCCAGTCAACATTCGTAGACTCTTCCAATTTTAATTTGTTTCTTCTGGTCAAAATGCATGTTCGGAGAAGATTTACATTTTCTGATTGATTATAGGAATTAGATATATTGATTGATGCCTATAACATTTGAACAGAAGAAGGTGTTAGGGCACACTATCCCTGCTGATAGAAAATGCCGATATGGTTTATTAGAATTAACTCTTTATATGATATCAGAATTTATGTGAATAGGATTTTGATTCTCACCACCCATGTTCTTTTAAAAATAATTAATTAAATATTTTGAAAAAATTTAACATAGCTAAATAGGGCTGATACATCATTCATTTAATGGACTCTTATGCGAAAGGTACGTTAGAGAAATATTAAACCATTAATATAATTTAAATTTTTTGGTTAGAATTAGCGTTTTAGGCGCCTCATCCCTTAAACTGAGATTTGACAAACAATAAGTGCTACGTTCCGATGAGATGAAAAATATTGCTGATATATCAAGCCACCATATTCATAAGTCATAATCTTCTACGCAATTACGAATAATAGAATAAGTTTCACGAAATAAGTTTCACCAAATGTCCTAACCATTGCCATACCCCTGCGTCAAACTAAGCCCACATATTGATGCTTCCCTTCAAGTTTTGTCCCTCTGTTGGTTTGTTTCTATTTGTTTCATTGCAAGCCACTAGGAACTTTACACCAATGAGTTTCTATGCCAGTTGGCAGTTTGCCATTATCCAATGCAACTAAACACCACATCACTGCCACACACGCAATTAATGTGCCAACTAGGTACATTCATCAATTCAAACAGACCACACTAAAAGGGCAAAGCATCTCTATGGGACTTCAAAATGATTTTTCCCCCCCTCCATGGAACTAATTTAAAGCTAGCGGTTAGCGGTACTTATAAAGGATTAATTTGATGGCTTGCTCAATAATGTATCAATTATTAACTATTTAATAATTTATAATTGGTCACAATTCCTGCTATAAAGTCTTTGTTAATTTTAAATGTTAATTATAGAAGTTTGATATTTAATTAATGAAAAACAAAAGGTATGATGTTTGTGCAAGTATGTGGAACATTACTCCAAATTCCAAAATCATTGTTGGATATGCATTTTATCGTGTCTCGGTTCAAAATTTAGAATATTTATGCCCTTTTGATATTTTATGCCCTTTTTTAAATCTTATAATTAAAAGTTAAAACATTGATGATCACCAGTTCACGACGGCTACAAAATTAAATGATGTCGTTTATCAGGTTTTTTTACTCTTTTGCCCTCATTAATTATTTAATAATTATTTTGTCCCTTATTCAAAACTATTTACCAATCTGTCCATCTTTAATCGATTAAATCAAAAATTTAATCGATTAAATGGTCAAAATAGGCAAAAATCGTTGACTTTAAGATTTAGTCGATTAAATCTTCCTATTTAATCGACTAAATCTCCTATGAATAAGGTTGTTCTCCTGGTAAAGAGGAAGATTTAATCGATTAAGTTGAAGATTTAATCGATTAAATTTTTATTTGACCATTTAATCGATTAAAGAGGGACAGATTGGTAGATAATTTGCAATAAGGGACAAAATGATTATTAAATAATTAATTAAGAACAAAAAGGTAAAAAAGCCTCGTTTATCAACAAAAAAAAAAAATTGATGTCTAACGTCTACTTACTACTCTATTGTAAAAGTGGAAATCCAACTAAAAAAACGTAACTATTATTGAAACCAGAGTGTAGATCAAATAAAGCAAATTGTACTTCTCCCACAAACCAGAATAAACAAGTGTGACTCGGCTCAACGTATCCCATCAATCTGGTGCCAAAATCTGCAGTTAAAGTTTTTTTTTTATACAATAGAAGAATTAAACACATAACATAATGTAAAATATCCAAATTACTAATCACTAAACCAATTCTATTCGATTGCAGTTAAAGTTTTGTCCTTATGTTCAACGTAATAGGAAACCAAAGCCGCGGCGGCGCTGTAGTTGTACACTTCTACTAGATTACTAGATGAGGCTAGGTGGAAAGACCAACTACCGTCATAAATAACACATTTACTCCTGAACACAAATTGTTTCGGTAATTATAGGAAGGGTTTATTATTTCATAAATTAATTTCTTATATATACATAAAAATATATAAGACACATTTTTTCTTTTTTTTTCTCATATGAGCTCACATATACCACACATGATTTTATGTACGTGTATTTATCTTCTAAATCGTGAGAAATATTAAATCATTATAACAATCCCTATATTTATTTATTGGAATCTATTAATCTCATGTTGCATAAAATAAACAGGGACAAGATTATAGGGTCCACTACTTTTTCAAAAAAAATAAAAACATAAAATAATAGACCTCACTATTTTGTCTCTGTTGTATGACATAATTATCTCATACAATAATTATTTCCCTTATTTATTACCCAGCCCCATCCCTGCACCAAAACAAACTAAAAACGAAACAAAAAAACAAAAAAGGCTTCGTATGATAACTTGACTTGCCAGTATCCAACCATCTATTAAAGCATCGACAGAAGAGGTTATGGGCTGATGGCTCCTGCTTTAATCTAAGCCCACAATTTTGATGTACTTTATAAGAGGACAGCCCGGTACAATTGCTACTGCCTACTGGGGCTATCAAGTGGTGCCAATTCTTGCTTCAGAACATCGGGCCTGGCACATCGGACCCAGATCAGTCTAATGCCATTTGTAACACAAGTGTTTGACCAAATAATCAAAATGTTATATTTCTTTCATTTCACATGAAAGAAATTAAATTCTTATACATATAAAATAAAGGTAGATTTTATCTTTATTTTTTTTCTTTCTTTTTGTCTGTAAGTCTCACTTATAATATTATCTGTGCTTCATGAAATAATTCTTTTTATATAACATGAGAAAATAATTTTTCATAAATAAATAAATAAAAATAAAGTGTGAGCATTTAAAGTTATAATTCACAAATCCCTATTAAGAAATAAAATTTCACACACTTTTCAGTTCACTAATTTATTTGTTATTTTATTATATTTCAAAGTTTTTTACTTGGATTTATTAAAAAAATTATAAAAATCCTTTGAAGTATATGTAAAAATATTCTTAAATCGGCTTGGATCTCAATAACACTTATAAAATATCTTCTTAAAACGCTTCCCATTCTTTTGGTAGAATCTTATTAAAACACTTTATTAAAAATATTTCTATCTCTTCATAAAAAGTTTACTATAAAGATATATATGCATTTAATTATTTACGAACAAAAAATATTTAACATTCGTATTTGATAATTAAATCTTTTTTATAAAATTAGTGAGGTTATTTAAAATTATTCTTTTTAAAAAAAATTATATTAAGTCAGTGTCGCATATAATATGAAAATATTCTCCAATGGATAAGACGGAAAGAAAATCATAAGAAAGCAAAGGAGACTGTACTGGATTAATAAAGAGAACGAATTTTTTCATATTATAAATTGTGTTTATTATTTTATAAATATTATATAGATAGAGCTGTAACTTGTAAGTATTCCTTTTTCTGCAGATATATCGAACCATCTTACAGTCAGTAAACACCAACTGCGCAAAACCGAAAAAATAATAAATACAATAAAAAATTAGGGGCAAATCTTAGTGAAATAAAAAAAAAAATGAAGTTGGATTCAATGCACAGAACTCAGAATTCAGCATAGTCTCGCATCCCGATATTATTTCAGGCTTCAGCATAGCATATAGGATAATCACTCCACACGTCATTTTCTAAGGTTCTCTAGATAGTGTTTGGTTGATGAGTTTTTTAAATTATCCTATGCAAATGAAGTTGGCAATCTGCTTTGCACTTGTTTAGTAGACAAAGATTTAGCTGATTTCTCAGGCAACCATGATGCATAACATTTTCAATTTTGTGAAAGAATACTAGACTTTGGTACTATTTAAAAAGCATTATTGAAGGTGGTTTTACATAGATAGCCGGCTATTGTCATTTCGTTGAGCAACTATTTGCTGATGTGCTAACTTAGTTTATTCTACAGAATTGCTAGACCGGACAGCTGCAACCTCATTTTTCCTTTTGAGCACCAAAGATAAAGATAGAAGGACCAAAGAAGAGAACCACAAATTATTGAATGGGAATTCTGTAGACCCTGCAGATTGGGTATGCTGAATATTCCTGTACTTTTCTTTTTATGTAATGTCATTGTCTGTGATTTAGACATAACATGGTTATTGTCACTTGGCTCAGAGGCAGAGAACTCAAGTAAATGGGAAGATTATGGAAGATGGCAATGCACTCCTTGCTGACTCTGCAAAGAATGGTGCATAGATATGGATGAAATCTTGTTGCTTGCTGACTTTGAACCTTGCTGATAGCGTTTATGGATGAATTCTTTCGTAATTTACACTTATTTTAAAATCAGATACATTTTCGTAATTGACATTTATTTTTTTATCTATATTTTACTTCAAATCAAATATAGATTTTATAAATCTTACTTAATTTGTCCAGTTAAATTTTTTTTAACTAAACAATTTTTTTATATTTTCTTATCAATTAGATTTTTTTAGTATTAAAAGAATTTCTACTGAATCAAAAATTTCCTTGAAGCTTAAACAACCCCAAAAGCGTAGCATTTTGAAGTGCGTGACTTCGTTTTAGGATAATTCTATTCGCGTCACGCATTTCAATACTCAATCCTAAAACGACCTCAACACCATAGTAATCCATTCAATCCAGAACCCCACATCTTAGGCCCACAGCGATCCCTTCAATCCAAGCTAATAGCTATCGAACCGGACGAGGGCGATTCGGGTCGAACATGGATCGGTTATCGCCGGATAACCTAATACTCGTCAACCGCGAATCAAACGGCGTCGCGGTGGTGACGATTAATCGTCCGGGTTCTCTGAACTCTCTGACCCGGCCGATGATAGTGGACCTGGCTCAGGCTTTCAAGAAACTGGACCAGGACGAGTCGATGCGGGTTATCATATTAACCGGATCGGGTCGTTCATTCTGTTCGGGCGTGGACTTGACCGCAGCGGAGGACGTGTTCAAGGGCGATGTGAAGGACGCGGAGAGCGACCCGGTCATACAAATGGAACGATGCCGCAAGCCTATAATCGGAGCAATCAGAGGATTCGCCGTCACTGCTGGGTTCGAGTTTGCCCTCGCTTGTGACATCTTGATTGCTGCAAAAGGATCTAAGTTCATAGACACTCATGCTAGGTTTGTTCCCCTTTTTAAAAATAAACAAATAAATAAATAAATAATTTTATTTAGGATTTATTGTGTTATTATGGTCTGTTACAATAATTCAGTATCATTTACTTCAGATGAGCAAAAAAAAAGGGGTCTATTTTAATCTTTGACTCTATTGATTGCAGGTTTGGGATATTTCCTTCGTGGGGTTTGTCTCAGAAGCTTTCGCGCATTATAGGGGCAAATAAAGCACGCGAGGTATCTCTCACGGCCATGCCTTTGACTGCAGAGGTAGCTGAAAGGTTGGGTTTTGTGAACCATGTTGTTGAAGAGGGTGAACTGTTGAAGAAAAGCAGAGAAATCGCAAATGCCATTGTGAAAAATAATCAAGACTTGGTATTGAGGTATAAGTCGGTCATAAATGATGGCCTCAAGCTGGATCTTGGCAGTGCTCTTTCCCTTGAAAAGGTTAGTATTGTAGCATTTTTGTGTCAAAAATTGTATGAGATGATTCCAATGTATCAGGTTGGTATGCTTCTATGGTCTTGGGCCCCATAACAATGAAGTTTTGTACATATTGATGGGTGCTTATAATACTATAGGATAATAAGTTAAAAGAATGGAAAGTAGTATACTCTGGAAACATTCTCTGCATATATTGTGGGATGCAGCATCAATTACTTCCCTGTCATTCTTGTGAACTTAACAATTATATATATATATATATACTCACTCACGGTACTCGGTAGGTGTGAAAAATTAAGAAGTCTTATCTTCATTCTTGATATTGATACATTTGTATCCAATGATTTACAGCAACGTCAACAACACTTTTATCTATTCAATGATTTACATTAACTAAAAAATTAGAATACTTAGATATAAGAGAAATCAACTGCCAAAGATTGAAAATATAAAATGATCTTGACCCTTTTATATGAATTTATTGTTTCTCCTGATAAAGGGAGATAATTTATCTTTGTTTGACCCCATAATGACGTTGTGTTGGAGTTGAGAGAAAAATCATTTTGTAATTTTAATTTAGTTTGAGATTATGTTAGTCTTTAGCATGGCAATTTTTGTTTAGGTTGTATTTTGTAAAGATTGTGATATGTTTGTTAATTAAGTAAAGTTGATAGAAATACAGGGGGCTTAAGAGCAAAAACTCAGCCTAAAATATACTTTGTGTGCTATAGTAGTAACACCAATCGTTAAAGTCTGACTTGTTAAAATTATTGGAAAATAATCGAAAAAAGGTTGTGTTACACTGAAATTCTATCTTGCGAATTGCGATTGTTTTCGTTACTGTCTCTTTGCAGCCATTTCTTATTATCCATTGCATTATTGTCTTGTGTGTAGTCAGTAATCCTTACCAGCTTTTTGGGAATCTTCCACCTCATTTATGCATCTGTAGTTTTGCGTTGTACATGTCCAAACTATTTTTATGCAATTTTCATCAACTTCTCTACTTGTGAACGAAATTTAGGAGAGAGCTCATGATTATTATAACGGAATGACGAAGGAACAATTCAGGAAGATGCAGGAATTCATAGCTGGTCGAAGTTCCAAGAAACAGTCCAAATTATAGGTTCTTTATTTGCACTTATCTCTCTTGGCTGTAAAATTATATGTTGCTTCCCAAAGTTGAGGTTTTACGATAACTAATTCTTACAAAATCCGCAAACATTGTTTATCATACTGCATTATAACCGTGATAAAAGTTCATTTTCATCAAAATAAATATTCTGAGTTATTGTGTCCTGTTTTTTTAAGTATTTTTATTGGTTTACATATGTTTCTGATTATTCTAAATATAATTATTTTTTGTTTTAGTCCCCCATTTTTAGAACTTTATTAATCAATCTTGAAAAAAAAAAATCTTACCCATATGTTTATTCTGCAACATCTTTGTTGGAAATTGTTGTTTTTTGCCTCATCCTATATGGATATACTGAACCCTGACGTCAACATTAACAAAAAAATAGTTACAGAGACTAAAACGTTAAAAAAATTATTTTTTAATTATTATCTCATTAGACTGGTCGAATAATAGGCAAAACGGTTGAGAAATTAAAAAAAATGTCTATACAATATTTAAATATTTGCTAGGAATTATATATCCTCAGAATTAATCTTATTAAATGAATAAAGTATTTAATATTTTTTTATGTTTAATAGATATGAAATTTATCTACTCTTAGGAGATTATTAAGAAAATATTTTTATAAAAATATTTACTCATACAAAATTGCTGATGCATTTATTTAAATATCTAAAGTGAAATATGCATTTATTTAATATCTAAATTGAAAATATGAATAGTAAAATTTAATAATTTTCTATATTTTAAGAGAGTAATTTAGTGATAAAAATCTTTAAATGACTAACGTAATTATTTAATTGAGGGGATCTCTTAATCACAAAGTGGCCAACGGTTAGTTTTACCTATGTTGTGGGCAATGTTATTAAACACGTATTGGTTAATTGGTCATCAAGTTGGTTGGGACAATGGGTTAATGTGTTACTAGTTGAACCACTTAAATTAAATATATACAATAAATATATAAATGGAAATAATATAACAATCAATTTAATTTGGCTTTGTAGTTAGCATGTCACCTTCTTTCACTTAGTGCCAAGAAAAAAATGGCATCGGTTGAAACTGATTTTGATCGGTTATCAGTTCTTGATCGAATTACATACATGACTGGTTAATTTATTGACTGAATCGAATCGATTAAGGTTGGTTCAATCAATCCGACCTCCCGGGTCGGGTGGTTTTAATAACACTGCATATGGGCATACTTTGGTGAAATGAAACAACATATATAATAATTTATTTTAGGGAAGGGAGTATAGTTTCTGCTGCGATTGCATAAGGCTATTCTCTTGTCATGACACATCATTTTTATTTTTATTTTTAAGTTAATATATGGTGAGACCCATTAAAAAATTGTGTGGGCTGCAAAAAATATTCTTCTCCCATGAAAGGAGAAGAACAAATCCCTTTCTTTTATCTAAAAAAACCTTTTCATTGCATTTCGTAACAAAACTATTATGTCAAAGTATAATGACAAATGCTAACAAGTTTCTTTATAGTTCCTGTTAATCAATAATATTAAATAAAAAGTAAAAAAATTTAAATTGCCTTTAAAAAAACTTTTTACTATATATTTTAATTTTCTAAAATATTAAATGTTACATTTTTATTTTTGATTTTTTAATAAGTGTTGTTACACTACTGTTATAAGTATTTTTTGGGAGGAATATTAGCACTAATAATTCATCATTATTGTATTTTTTATAGTACTTGTAAGAGCCCTCTTTCTCTCTTTATTCTATTTCACCCCATTTTATTGGTTAAACAGACTTTTTGAATGATTTTATTCTATACTATGCTATTTGGATATACATTGAATTTATGAATATTTATGGAATTACCAGTACTGTTGGTTGTATATTCAATTTGGATAAATTTTTGTTGTCTTCTTTTTTTAAACAGGTTAAACAAGACTTTTATTTTTTTTAAAGTCAGGCCTCAGGCTGATAATTATATTCATAACAAGTATCAGGCTTATACATTTAAACACATGCTTAGCTTTTTAAGATCAAAACTCGACTCGGCTCGGTCCGGTAACACTCCTACTCAATACATCAAAATGATGTATATCTTAATAAAGCCTAAGGGGATGAGATTAGGCCGGGTTGATGTATTAATATTGCTGACTAGTACAATTCTCAATAATTAATATATTATTTCAATATTAATATATTATTTCAATATTAATATATTAAAAAAATTAATATATTAATTTTAAAATATTGGAAATTTTTATTTTTATAAAATTTAATATATTTTTTGGACACACTAATCAATATATTTTTATAAAAAAGAATATCATATGATATATTTGGAAAAATTATATAAATTCTTTGTTGAAGGGTATTTTTGTTAAAAATATTTTTATTCTAGTATTTTATAGTGCATTACTAAACACTGAATGATAATATCTTATACAATACTATGTCAAACGTTGGATAATATAGAAATTTAATAGGGTCTTATACAATCAGGTCTTATACTATCAGGCCTTATCCTATACTATATATCATACATGCCCTAAGTCGGAAGAGTGACCAAAATGCCACCTTTTGGCAAAAAAATTACCCAAATGTCACGCGAACAGTACTTTTATCAAACTGCCACGTAAGCATAATTCACTACGACAGGTAGCATATTATGTTCGCCAATAATTTTATAACTCGTGGCACACTGTTGCAGGAAAAAGCTGACGTATCATAATTCGCTACCACTGGTAGCGAATTTGGTTTGCAATATGGCCACGTGTCAAGAAATCATTGACCACGAAATTCGCTACCAATGGTAGCAGATTATGACACGTGACAGTCTGATAAAAAATACTGTTCGCGGGGTATTTGGATAAAAAAATTGATAAAACGTGGTATTTTGGTCACAATCCCCCTAAGTCTTTGTCTTTGGGCCCACCATCATTGGACTAAACCCTACATTATGTTTAGTATGGATTGGGAGGCTCATTAGTTCAACTAGTCCCCATGTTCTTCGAATGGATTGACCCTATATTTTGTTTAGTATGGATCCAGATTAACGATCAATTAAAATAAAAACAAAAATAGTATTAAATTATATTTCATTGTGAAAATAAAAGTAATAAGAATGAAATTAAATAACAAATTACTAAAATTATTATAACGTATTAACCGACTCTACGAGATCGTCGATTCTTTCTATTTTTTTTAAGATAAAAAAATAAATTATGTACAACATTTTCGAATCCCCTTTTTGTGTTTATCTTTAACGGGGAAGGTTACAATTACTACTATTTTTTCTTACTATTTACTTTGTTATCGTTAGATCAAAATTAAATCAACGGTTCTCACTTGTGTTGATTTGATTTTGATCCATTGATAACAAAGTTGGTAGTAAGAAAAACAATAGTAAGTATAATCTATCACATCTTTGAATATTTAAATAGTTCAGGAAAAAATTTATAATTCGATTTTGTTTACATTTAAATAAATAAATGGATATAATTATATTTTATGGGATTGGAGATTGTGCCTACCTTTTTTTGCATACCTACTTTACCTGTCGATCTCCAATATCGTGAGATCGTAATCTCAAGATAAGAGAAAAATGATAGCGGTTAGTTGAGATTCTAATCCAATGGTGTCGGAGAGAAGTAAGTCGAGTATGCATGAAAAAAATATAGGTAGAAATGTAGAATAACCCATCCCTTAATTTACTTTATAATTATTTTTAAATGAATAATTAATCATGGTAGTTTTAAAAAAACATATATGATCTATTGATCTTAAGCTGATAACAATTAGATTTAAATTTTTCTAATTACCTATCTTATTTTCATTTATACATTGAATTGTTATAAGATAGTATTTAATGGACATTAAATCTTGTTTTTCATGTTATGTGAAATAATTTTATTTCCTAAATATATGAAGCCTGTGAAGTTTTATTTTATTTTTTACTCTTTCTTTTACTCAGATGACTCCATATGAATCAACATATATTTTTATTTTCATGTTTATAGAAGATAAAATTATTTATCTCTCAAACATTAATCGAGATAAGTGATTTACAAAAATCAGTTTTTTAATTATATATAAAGAGTTGTTATTATCTCGATTCTCGTGAGTTGTTATTTTTTTTTTTTTGTTAAAGTAGTCTCCACTTATTAGGAGAGTTTACATGGACTTGTTCAAAATAAGAGTAAAGAAAACCTAAGGTCTAGAAGCTGCAGCCATTTCGCTAGCTAGCCCTTACTCTCAATGTCATCCTCCCTTCCGTTCATAGTTCACTTCAACTCCATTGAATGATTGAAAACCCATTTTCAAAGGTTAAAAAACGAAGACATGGAAAAGACCAACTGTTACGAAGGAAATTATGCAGAAAAGAATTTTTAACAGAGAAAATTATGCAGAACAGCAAGAAGAACATAAAATTGAAAATAAGTCTCTCTTCGATGGGAGGTATCTCCTGAACCAATTATGGTTACTGATAATTCTCCTACTCTTTCTATAACAACTAGGTGCCTTTATACATGACACCCTCAACAGAAATAAAGGAATGCAACGAACTTGTAAAACAAACACGAGTAAAGTTCCTCTAACCCTACTCATGACAGACAGCACTTCTCTCACACATTTCTTAACAACTCACGTCAGTCCCCTTCTCTTCAGCACATAACCTTTGGGCTTCATTCCATCATAAAGTCCCTCATCCATTTGGGTTTGGTCTTGCTCCTCTTGGACCATCTAACTCGTGGGCTGATGCGTGTCCCTTCTAATTTATCTTCCTGATCCGAAACTGTCATATCCTCTTGGGCTTCTCGTTCACATTGTTGGTTCAGTTCCTGGTCCATATTACCAACACTTTTGCGCGTTTCGACGTCGTTTCGGATGACTCAGATCACCACTTCAGGAATCCAAACTGGTGCAGAAACAAAGGTGACAGAGTCTGTTTCACCAATACAAAGAGCGAGGTATACAAGATCATCACGAGAGAGTGGAAAATCCTGGAGGAAAATTTACCTGATCTATGTTCGCGTTTACGAGAGACGAGAGACGCATAGACTTGTTGAGGGCTGCGATCGTAGGCGGGCACACCTTACCACGATGGTCTGTATATTTTTGTTAAAAATATTTATTTTTATTCTATTTAGTATTATATAGATCGTTACCGAGCACTAAATAATATTATCTTATATAATACTATGTCAAACGTTAGATAGTATTAAAATTTAATCAAGTCTTATACAATCAGATCTTATATTATGAGACTTTAACCTTATATTATACATCAAGCATGCTCTAAGTCTTTGTCTTTGGGCCACCATCATTGGACTAGACCCTACATTTTGTTTAGTATCGATCCAGATTAACGATCAATTAAAATAAAAATAAAAATAGTATTAAATTATATCATTGTGAAAATAAAAGTAATAAGAATGAAATTAAATAACAAATTATTAAAATTATTATAACGTATTAACTCACTCTACGAGACCATCGATTCTTTTTATTTTTTTAAGATAAAATAAATAAATTATGTATAATATTTTTCAAATCCGCTTTCTGTGTTTATCTTTAAATGAGGAAGTTATACTTACTATTATATTTTCTTATTATTAACTTTGTTATCGTTAGATAAAAATTAAATCGACAGTTCTCACTTGATGTTATTTTAAAACCGTTGATTTGATTTTGATCCATTGATAAAAAATTGATAGTAAGAAAATATATGAGTAAGTATAATCTATCACATCTTTAAATAGTTCGGAAAAAAATATTTATAATCCAATTTTGTTTACATTTAAATAAATAATAAGATATAATTATAATGTATGAGATAGGAGATTGTGATTATCTTTTTTTGTGCTTACCTAACCTACATTTCTCTAATATCATTATATCATAATCTCAAGAGAAGAGAGAAATAGAAGATGTTAGTTGAGATTCTAATCTAACGTTCTTGGAGATGAGTAAGTATAATATGTATGAAAAAAATATAAATAGAAATGTAAAATAATCTATCCCTTAATTTATTTTATGATTATTTTTAAATGAATAATTAATCATGGTAGTTAAAAAAAAAAAAACAGATATGATCTATCGGTCTTAAGCTGATAACAATTAGATTTAAATTTTTCTAATTAAGTGATTTACAAAAATTAGTTTTTTAATTTTATATAGAAGAGTTGTTATTATCTCGATTCTCGTGGGTTGTTATTTTTTGTTAGAGTAGTCTCCACTTATTAGGAGAGTTTATATGGACTTGTTCAAAAGAAAGAGTAAAGAAAAACCTAAGGTCTAGAAGCTGCAGCCATTTAGCTAGCTAGCCCTTTACTCTCAATATCATCCTCCTTTCCGTTCATAGTTCACTTCAATTCCATTGAATTGATTGAAAACCCACTTTCAAAGTTAAAAAAAACGAAGACATGGAAAAGACCAACACTTTTGCGCGTTTCGACGTCGTTTCAGATGACTCAGATCACCACTTCAGGAATCCAAACTGGTGCAGAAACAAAGGTGACAGAGTCTGTTTCACCAATACAAAGAGCGAGGTATACAAGATCATCATGAGAGAGTGGAAAATCCTCGAGGAAAATTTACCTGAATCCATCTATGTTCGCGTTTACGAGAGACGCATAGACTTGTTGAGGGCTGCGATCGTAGGCGTCGCGGGCACACCTTACCACGATGGTCTCTTCTTCTTCGACATAGCCTTCCCCTCTGATTACCCGAAATCCCCGCCCCGGATCCATTACCGCTCATTCGGGCTCCGACTCAACCCAAACCTCTATGCCAACGGCGTAGTCTGCTTGAGCCTACTCAACACCTGGATGGGGCAAAAGAGCGAGAGGTGGGACCCATCTGGGTCAACGTTGCTGCAGGTGTTGCTCTCCATTCAATCACTCGTTCTCAACGACGAGCCATTCTTTAACGAGCCTAGTTATGCATCGTTCGGGAATTCTCACCACCACCTGAACAGGTCACGTGCTTACAGCGAACACGCGTTTTCCCTCACGTGTCAAACCTCCGTCTATCTGCTTCGGAACCCGCCCAAGAACTTCAAAGAATTCGTCCGAGCCCATTTTAGCGAGCGAGCGCCTGCGATTCTCGCGGCTTGCAACGAGTACGTGAATGGGCGCGTGAGAGTTGGCAATTACGGTTACAACGACGACGACGACGACGACAATGAGTCTCGTGCGTCTTCTGTGAAAGTTTCAGAGGAGTTCAAGGGGTTGATGAAAGGACTTTACCCCAAGATGGTTGAAGCGTTTCAACGGACCGGTGCTCATTTGGGGACTTCCCTCGAACACTTGGAGTTGGAAAGGAAGCGATCCGAAAAAAACAACAACGGTATCTTCAAGAAGGCCATTGCAAAGATCAAACGGGCTTTGGGATGGAAAAATAAGATTAAATCGCAGTCATGAAAGTGCTTGAGATAAGCTCTTTATTTATTGGTTCTTTAGTTTTCCTTTTATGGTTTTTATTTAACAAGTGGGGTGGTACCTTGTTTACCATCGCCAATAGATGAAGTGGATGCTCTATCAAAGTAGGAGAACCCTTTTCTATTGGATGGAGCACAGAAAAACTGTAGTGTTTACAGCTTTTCGTCCTCTCCCTTTTTTTTTTCTTCTTCCCATCTGTCATCTTTGCTAGTTGTGGGGCCAGCTGTTGCTGTCATTTTCCTTCTAACCAAAAGCTTTTAAATTTATGAAAATGAAAGGAATAACGTTACTTACGTATAAATTTATGCTCAACGAATTAATTGAACCAATCATCCAAGTCATTTCATACTTTTGAAGATCATTCATACAAATGAGCACAAGACTGATTTGAGTGGTATAGTGTTAGTATCTTAGTATCTTATGTATACGTACATGTATGTGCGTTTTTTTATTCAATTCAGGGTAAAAAAAGAAAAATCTTAAGAAAGACCTCACAATGTGTGTGTGTGTTTTTTTTTTTTTTAATGTTGAAATAATCTTATTTGGTGTTGGTTTGGAGTGGTTGCAAGGTGCTTTTGTCATATTTCAATTTATTTGCAAATAAAAAATTGATCACTTGAGTTCAATTTGCCAGTACAGCCACGTCTCGTAATTTTGGTTAGACTTAATTGTGCATAGTATGTACCACTCCTTCCAAAAATAAAAATAGAACTGGACATTAAGCTAAAAGGTAATACATTTTGATTCATGTCATTCATCCAATAATTATTGAGCTAGATTACAGACGGTTAAATCTGCAATGTTTAAATATGGGCTGATATTTTGTTTGCTGGATGTCTGGTTGGTTGGCGGGATGATTAGGGATTGAAGTTTGGAGTAGTTTTCAGGAAAATTAAGAAGGTACTTATTAAACATTCCGATGTTTAAGTTAGTATATATTCAAGATGTTCAAATATTGATGGAAGATAACCATATATAGATTTAATGCCTCTGGTTATGATGCCTTAATATGATGAGGTTTATTCCTATTAGTCAAAAATAATAATCTTCACAAGTTACTTCTAGGCAGGATGCTTACAGTTAGGCCAGACCTATATAGATGTAACGACTAACGATAAATAGAAGTCTGTCTTCAAGCTATTGGTTCGTATATATACAACGGTGGTGTTGCTCTGAGTAACTAATGTCGGTCATGTTGAGCAGCTGAATCCGTGTGTCATGTAATTGCGAGATTGCCAAGCTAGGCAGGATGGCTGCATTTTCTTATTAAGGAATAATCTTTAATTTTCTTGGGCCCCTTACTGGTTGAACTCATAATCCTACATGAAATGAATCTAGATTAAGATGAAACTATAAATAACGTAACTGAAGTGAATATAACGTTTCATTTCGTTAAATGCTACCTTTGATTTATGCAGTAGGTGCAAAAGTGGTTGCTATACACATGACAAGAACACCTATGTGATAGTTTAGAGTAAAAAGAGAGAGAGAGAGGAGGCAAATACATTTATTTTATATAATTTTTTGTATTTTATTAGCTTAATCTGTATACGTTTTATATTTTAAATTTAAAGAAAAAGAATATCGCATTATAAAATTGGTTGGATTTAGATGTTCAATATGATATTAGTTAATCAATATTGGATTTATATTCGCTTTCAGATATCTATAAAGAAGATACCTTACAAGAAAATAAATCACTGAGCGAAATAATAGATGACATAGTCAAAACGTGAGGTATGTGCACAGTAATGACTAAGAGATAGATGGTTTAAAAATGTGCGTATATGAAAGTTTTACCTCTTATTTATAGAATTCATTTGTGGATTATAGAATTTTGGACATTTGGTGAATTTTTTGGGAGTCCAATGCTTTATACATTGTTGTCAAACTAAAATTAGTATAATTATGATTCCAAAAAAAAAAAATTAGTATAATTAAAAAATAAATTCCTTAATTTTCTTCTTAATTATTTGTCTTTTTTGAATCTTCTATAACGTGAGCTTTTATGTCATGTCTATAACAGGTGGTGTCACACTGTCACCAAATATTAGTTTACTGTACTTCTCAATTGGATTGTTTTTCGGCCGACAATTAGCTGGCTCTCTTGCTGGAACCGTGGGTCCATTTACTAAAATGGGTAAAAATATCCTGGCCCATGAGAAGTTTCAAAGGGACGCTTGAGCCTAAGATGTACTAACAAGCCCAGTAGAATTCAAGTACCATCCTCAATAATTTTGGATTCCCATCCGCAGAAAATAAAATAGAAACCAGCGGAATAAACAGAGGCTTTTTGACCTATGTATGGTGGTTCTAATAAAAAATTGTTTAACTAATATGTTTTGTAATACGGTCAAAACAGGACTTTAATCATGTAGGACGAGACATGCATCTTATTAATACGCGACTCCTTATCCATGTGCCACTCCTGCATCACCATAATACGGGTCGCGTCTCTGTCAAACTCCATCAATCAAAGTGTCTCTATCAAATTAAGAAGAATGAGAAAAAGTTTGAGAGAGAGAGGGGTCACGCATGGCAGTATGCCGGAACAAGTCCAGTATTATAGTGATGCGGGATAAGGGTCGCATATTAAAGAGGTACAAGAATTATTCCGTATGGTTAAAGTGCGGCTTTAACCACATTACAATGCCATTACTTTTACAAAATTAATTAATTAAGCAATTTTTTATTTAAACCACACTAAAGTGGTCGAATTACCAATAAAAAGACGAAAACAAACAATTAGATATGAGAAGGCCTCATTGGCATTGAGACAAGCTATGAAGTTAACACTGAACTACCAAGAAATGAAACACAAGTTAACCATGTCCAAATGTGAATATAGTTTTTTTTTTTTAAATAAATAAATAAATTTCAAACGTGAATATATCTAGGACACGCCCAAGTTCCCAGCTAAATATAAGATAACAAATTGAACATAAAACCTTTTTTTTTAAAAAAAAAAAATGTTAGAACTAAAAACAGTATTAGTTACATGAGAATTTCAGTAAAGATGGAGTCTAACGTTAATTTATAACTTAATACATTTTTTTGGTGCAATACATAGAAGCATAATTAGTATGTTGGTATTTAACAGATATGAAGGACATTTATAATTCTATATAGAAGTGTAGCCACTGAACATAATCAGGACTACCAACCCAATCCAACTTAAAATGTGATAGTGGGGACTGGGGACTTGGCATGCTTCATGCTTCCGTCCACAACATCAGCATTGGTGGCATCATCTCGTTAGTGAGGACCGATCCTGCCATTGATATCACCGCCCATAGGAACCAAACCAGCTTCTGTGAAGAAAACTCTCCAACCATTTTGTACATAGAGGGCTATTTCGTCCAAGGTTATTAAAATTGAGTTTTCACTTAAAAATAAAATGGGGATAAAAACTCACAAAACTTAAAGTTATAATTAAAAATTATAAAAAAATAAAGATGCTTAGAAAATTATTGAAAATGTTTTGATAAAAAAAATCATAAAAATATAAAAGTGGAATTTTAAAACTGATTTTTATCTACCATGATTTGGCCTACGTTTCACAAGCATTTGCCTTCTGATGTAACATCTATTGTACAGCATGCAATCAAATCGACCCCAAACATGGCCATATAAATTTTTTTGTACAGCAGTTTAGTTAGACTTCCATTCTTTGAACCTGGTAGTGCCTATGAATAAAACTTACTATAAAGTGGATTATTTTTAAAATGTACTAGTAATAGATTTTTTTTTTTTACTTTTAATGAATTAAAATTGTAATATATTTTAAAATAATTTAATAATAAATATTTACTTATTTGTTCATTTTAAAAATAAGTTCATTTTACAGAAATTTTATGTCTGTTAATTGGCAATATAAGGGGCTGAGTTTCTATCTAGTTGCATTGTCCTGTATATGCTCTGACACACCATGACATGCCAGGAAAGTGAAATCCCACGTCGAATTGGTAGTGCTAAATGTTTCCCTCGTCAGACTAATAAAAAAGACGAAACTGTGATGTTGAGTTTAATTTTATTTAATACATGAATAGAACGATAATTCCAAGTCAATTTGTGTCAAATCCTTGTTTAGCTGTTTGCATCAAACTTATGTCCGGAGAGACAAAGGCAAGTGCGTCTTTGTTGCTTTTCTTCATTTGTGTGTTTAATAATCGGTCATTATCTCATGATATGCCAATTAACTTATACTAGGAGTCTAGGACTAGAACAGAAGTCACAACTTGCCACCATTAAATTAAACCTAATAGGGACCTGGCCTATCATGTGACAAAATAAAATAAAATAAAATAAAATAAAGTTTAATAAATATAGGAATTTGTATTTGTCATTTAACATGACACAATAAATTTTTCTACACACACAATATTTTGTGAGACCCACACTTTTTGAAGAAAAATAAAATAAAATTGTGGCACGCAAAACGAATTTCTATAATATTACATAATTACTTTTCCTATAACATAACTCTTATAAAACCCATAAATATAACAGTGGAAAGCAAAAACGAGCGGCTAAGGATGTTTATGACCTAAGCTTGAATTAACGAGGCCGGTCATGCTTATTGCACAATATACCGTCATCCACTATAAGAAATTGGTTCGGATGTTTATTTCACTGGATTTATTAATTTCATCTTACATGAGATAATATTTTTACGTTGGTGATATATTTATATGAGATTCATAATTTAAAAAGACAAAAAAAAAAAATTGACATAAAATTCTATGAGTGTATGATATAAGATAATTTTTGTATGCAACATGAGATTATTATTTTCCTTATTTCATTAGGAAAATAAGAGTATGGATGGTCCATATTTATTGTTTTCATTGTTATTTGTAATATTTTATCAATGATTATAAAGTATTATATGTTTTATTTGTTTTTTTTTTCTAAGATTTATTGAAAAAATGATTAAATTAACAAAACTTTTTTTTTTCTACTATTTGTTTAAAAGTTTTAAAAAATTAAAAACAAAGTAAAACATATTAACAAAGGTTATAGCAAAACCTCAATTAACATTTATTATTTATCTCTTTTCTTGAAATTCTGAGTTGGAGAGTGATACCCAAAGTAGACATAAAAAAAATAGATAAAATAACATATTCCTAATTAAAAATGTAAAGAAAAACAAACTAAATGTACCATGAGTTTTTTCATTTTTCGACTAATGCGCTACTTTTTCTTTTTTCTTTTTGAAGTATGTGATTTGTTTTCAATAAATGTTATACTGGGAAGATGATTAAAAGAGGTAAAATAACACTATTCCTTTGTTTTCTATTTTCTATTTTAGAATATGAACATAATACTAATAGCATTACCACTAGGGTTTGTTTAGCCATTTGTTATATAAAATTGACATTTGTGCTGATTCTTTATGCCATTAGATTGGCTCCAAGTTTGCTATCGGCATGTCTTATTATTTGTGAATAATTGAATATTCACTAAGCAAATAAATAAGTGCAGGTCATGGGTATGAGGTTAAATTAGGGGGACGTTTGGTAGAGAATTTTTTTTTTTTATCAAGAAAATATAATTACTGGACATATTGTATGAAAATAAGTTTGATGAGAAAGAAAAAAAAAATTGTTTGATAGACTGAAATTTTATTCAAAAAATTGATTTAAGTTTTGAAAGTCTTTGTTTTGTTTGATTGAAGTAAAATATTGATTGAAAAATTGGTGTAAATTATGAAAGTGGGCATTTTAATTTTTGAACATGGAAGGAAAAAAAGAGAGCTGGAAAATCCTCGTGACTCGATTGTAGATAAATCTTTGGAGATCAATTGTATTGAGATTTCTAATTCTCCTTCAACTCTAAGGAGATGAAAAAATCATTATTATCCAAGATCAGACAACTTTATATTACAAAGAGCTGCTACGAGAAGATCTCAAACGCAAAGGAAAATTTCAAGCAGTGCAGCATCCCATCTGGAGGTGAGAAAACCAAGTAGCTGAACTAGAAAAATGGAGAAGCTTGAACCAAGCAGTGCAGCATCCCATCTCGACGAACAAGATTTGCTTCCTGCTGAAAATTACCTTGGTTGTAGACGTACGGGTATGTAAGATACTCACTTTCTTTCAACATTACAGAGGGTCATTTTTGACAAATATCAGCAACTAATTATTTTCTTCTCCCGATAAACGCAAAATATCATATACGATGTGGTTTTTTTGCACAGTATTTCCATTCAGATTTTGCACACAAATGATGTTGCTTGGGTAATCAATTTTCCTAGTTAAGTTTTTTTGAAACTTCTACCAAACGTGATCATGTGAAATTTCCAATCTAATTTGTCTGGGTATTTGGAAGAAAAGCTCCTACCAAACAGCCGCGGGAGAAACTAAATCTTTTCAAGAAAAACTTTGCCTTTCTAGTAGACTATATGCTCAAATTGAATCAATCGATTAATCCTAAAAATAAAAATAAAAAATAAATAAATTTAACATGTAAGCTTAACTTCTAACCACATCTCAAATAAATGTGAAAACGGACTCGAGTCCCCTGATCTCCAATGCAAGTTCTCTTTCCTTCGCTTATCTGATGTTTTACCTTTCCTCTTCCTATTCATTTAACTGGCAACTTGCAGCGGCAAAGGTTTATATGTATGGGTTGCGTCTCGTACAAATTTTTTTAATATATTTTTCTACGAGCTTTTCCTCTCTCCATCTATTTCTTCCATATATGATCTGGATTTTCCACGTGTGAATTAGGAAATAGCTAGTCAATCAGAATTCAATAGTGATATTAAATAATTAATAGCAAACTTAATAAGTATAATTCAGTTGGCAACACAAATTGAGTAGATAGAAAAATAATCTGAATTCGATCTCACCACATATATATCAAGGAAACTTACCTAAAGAAATAATTATGGTCCCTATCATATCTTATTGGCTAGAGGCATATTCTCCCTCATAACTTAACATTAGGATGATGTAGGACCTTTGAATTTAATAAACTTATTCCCTAACGTTATTGCGCCTAAGAAGCCGGCAATGAATTAAAATTATATCATCCAAAGCCATTGCCATTTGTATTATGATTACAACAAACAATATTACAAGATTAAAATACAATAAAATTAATTAAAATTATTTCACTTACATAGACTAAACTAATTATTTATATAAAAATATATATATATAACGTATTACAAAATATATTTGAACCTTAAAGTGAAGTAAAATTAAAATCCTTGAAAAGTAGGAAAAAACATGCCAAGCCAAAATTATCTCTAGACATGAAACTGAAGAAGCTTTTGAAGCGACTACCAATTTTTGTTTTTTTCAAAAAAAGAAAAGATAAAAAGAGAAGGCATTGAAAATACATCAGGAAACAGAGGCTTCCCCACACCATCCTCTCCCCACAAGAGAATGAGCCCGTTCATGTTCCTCTACCACCGAACATACCCCGGCACCACCCCATGCTAACGTGAGCCTCCTGATTATCCTGCGCCTTGCACACCCTTCACCATCTTTTTTGTCTCTCTGTTCCCCCCCCCCCCCTTCATAAGCTCCTCGTTAATCGTTCTCTCTTCTCCCCTATCAGACTCGGAGGATCGGAGCAAGGTTGAAGGTTCCGGCGTTGGAGGTTTAGGGTTAAGGTTTCCGAGAGATGTGGGATGCTTCAGGCATTGATGAATCTGATCCCTCTGTGTTTGAAGCCATTTGGGCGCGGTGCTGATAAATTCGATTCAATTGGAATTATTGGGAGCAGTTTTGGTGGAAGAGAAGGCAAAGACGGCTTGCTCTGGTTCCGCGACGTCGGAAAATATGGCTCCGGTGATTTCTCGATGGCGGTGGTCCAGGCAAACCAGGTTCTCGAAGACCAGAGCCAGATCGAATCTGGTCCTCTCGGCACCTTCGTCGGTATATACGATGGTCACGGAGGACCCGACGCAGCGAGATACGTATGCGATCACTTGTTTCACCATTTTCAAGGTTCTTTATTCGGAATCCCCCTGTTTTTTTTTCTTGTTATGTATATATAGGCCCTGTTTTATTTATTTATTTTTTCATTTAATTTTGAGGGTTCTTGTTGCTTTAATGTGGCCACGTTTTTAGTTTGATAGTTTCCTTATATCATGAGTAGCAGTAATAGTAACTGTTAGATGTGATTTTCATCAATTCGCTTTTCGTGAACCTTTTCTAAAAGTAATGTTTTTCCCTTGGCCTTTTGAGTCTGAGGAGATTTCGCAGAACCTAGTATTGTTGAACATGAAGGCCAATGGATAGATACTCATCCTGACAGTGTGTATTTTTATTTATTTTTTGTTTAATATTAAATCGATTATGATAGGTGAATTGAGTGTAACTTTTTAGCTGCCCTCTAATGGGAACGGATTCGGGATTACATGACACATATTGCCATAATAAAGTGTTTTGGACCCTCGATTTCTGTGTTGAAGGCCCATTGTTTTGGTGGAGCATTCTGCCTCCAATTTTGGTTCCTTCTTGGGGTACGAGTGTTGGGAATTGGTTCTACGTTGTCTTTTTCTGTTGATAATGGGGGGCGCTTCTTATGCTATCCATCTCTGATTTCATGTTTGTGTAGCAATATCGGCTGAGTCACACGGAATTTTGACAACTGAGACTATTGAAAGGGCATTCCGTCAAACAGAAGAGGGGTACACTGCCCTCGTGTCAGACTTATGGAGTACTCGACCTCAGATTGCAAGTGCTGGGTCCTGTTGTCTAGTTGGACTGATATTTCAGCAGACACTATTTGTGGCCAACCTTGGAGATTCCCGTGTTGTGTTGGGTAAGAAAGTTGGCAACACTGGAGGTATTGCTGCAATTCAGCTGTCTACAGAACACAACGCAAATCTTGAGGCTGTTAGACAGGAACTTAAAGAATTACACCCTAATGATCCCCAAATTGTTGTCTTCAAACATGGAGTGTGGAGAGTAAAAGGCATTATTCAGGTAATTTTATATATTTGTGTTCTCCTAAAAACGCACATCTTCCACACATGAAAAGCAGTTCTTACATGAAGGTGGTCAAATCCATTCTATTCTCTGTTGTTTGCCCTTCTTGAAGTGTTAAGCGAAAGAAACATAGATATTGAATTTTGGTGATACCGAAAGGTGTTGGAAGCAACTTAACCTGTACCCAGAAAGGCCATCGCTTCTGCTTGTTAAAATCAAATGCTGCACGTGGTCTACGGTTTCTGAATCCATATATGTCTACAGACCCATGACATGTTAAGTCAGAGTCTTAGATTATAGTTGTTCTTTTACTGTCTCGTACAATTGTGTCATGTGAGTATTAATGAATTATTGACCCGGTTTGAATTTTTACGAAGCTTTGTATTCCTCAATCTCATACTATCTTCTTCTTCTGCATTATTTTTGCCAGAATTCCTTAAAAATGCAGTTTAAAAGTTTAATTTTCAATAAGAAGACTGTAACTATCCCAAATTCCCTTGTGAAATTATCTGCGCTTAAAAGAAGACCTACTCCTGTTTGTATGTACCAAACCCCACTCTTTATCTAGTCCTAATTATTTTAACTTGCTAAGGTATTGTGGCATACAGCCTCTTTGGGTAATCCATGTAATAGATGCAAAGGCTGACTTGGGCAGTATAGGAAGTGCTATAAGAAATATATACTATTTTAATTAAAGAAGGGTAATCCATGTGATAAATGGTTCAGTCCCCTTTTGTGAGCATAAAACCAAACCATATGAAAAAAGCAAGCAATTTTTATTTAAACATTGAATATTTAACTTTTACATTTGGTTTGTGATGCATTTGTATGTTAAAAATGAATACAGTGGTCATATAAAATATAGTCGATATGCTTTCAATCTTAATTCTCCCCGCTTTTTATTTTATATCTGAAGTCATATATATTCTGTTAGTTAATGGTTCACGTTCTCCATGTCGTTCTGCATTCGTTATCTTATTTATCAGTTTTACTTCCACTGTCCAAATTAATGACAATATCATAGTGCCACTTCCTTGATTGTATTTGATGCAGGTTTCTAGATCTATAGGTGACGTTTATATGAAAAAGGCGCAGTTTAATCGGGAACCACTTAATCCAAAATTCAGACTTCCTGAACCAATGAACATGCCTATCATGTCTGCAAATCCCACTATTATTTCTCATTCTCTCCAACCAAATGATTCCTTCCTTATATTTGCATCAGATGGTTTATGGGAGCATCTGAGTAATGAAAAGGCTGTGGATATTGTCAACAGCAATCCACGTGCGGTAAGATTCTTTCCTCCTATATTTGGATTTTCTTGTAGTACTTATTTCTGTAGTGGACGTTGCCTGGTTTATTTTTTCCTCATAAAATGCTTTGCTTTATTTATTTATTTTTTTAATTGAACTTTATTGAGCGTAGTGGTTGCATCAAGAATAGGTAGTGAGGGTTCTACCAATTTTCATGTGTTAGTATTGTGGAGGACCTAAGATTTATTACACGGTTTACATGTTGGTCTGGACAGAAGATTTGAAAATTTTCCTCTGCAACTTTTATCCATAATTTCATTTTTAGTTCCCCCATGCTCTTTATCTGATTCTGACATGTTGAGGTTAAAGATTATTGCTCTTGGTTGATTTGGTAGGGTATAGAAGTATAACTAGTCAATGGAGTAGTGTCTGTAGTTTATCTGTAGTTATAAGCTTTACAAGTTTTATATGTTCACTGTCCTAGTTTCTCAACTGCTTGGCTTATCCTTTATCAACTTGTTGCTTGATTCCTTTTTGAATCTTATTGGTGCTTATTCTTCCTGATGAGATTCAGATGTTAATGTGGTAACCACTGCGGCCTTTAATATGATAGTTTTTCGTAGTTTTTCATTAATACAATTCATATGACGAGTTTGTTTCCTATATTCTTACCCCAATAAATTATTTTTTCTTGGGGGCTATGGATGGGATAATTGTTGTCTCCAATTTCTTGCAAACTTAGGGTGTGCTTCACGTGTTACGGGCACCATACAGTTGTTAGATGTGCATATAACCAAGTTATTATGATTGAATATTTCTGCTAATTTTGCTTCGTAAGACATAATACTAATTCCTCAGCGTTTGACTTATTGTGGATCACTGCCCCCCCATCTCTTCTCTCTGGTCTCTCTTTGTATTTTATTTTACTTATAAAAGGGGAATAACCATGATGTCATTTCGTTTTTGCTCTAGAAAAAGTCTGGGTGTGTAGACTGGTCTCCCTTCTTGCTTTGTTGCTATTTGGGTGCCTATCTTGATTCTCTAGGAACTCAAATTTTGTTAATGCAGGGTATTGCCAAGAGACTTATCAAGGCTGCCCTCCACGAAGCAGCAAGAAAACGAGAAATGCGATATTCAGACCTCCGTAATATTGACAAGAAGGTTCGACGCCATTTTCACGATGATATATCTGTTATTGTTTTATTCTTAAACCACGACCTTATATCCAGAGGCGCAGCCCTAGACCCGCCCCTTTCACTTCGAAGCGCTCTCGATCACTGACTTGTATGATTGTAGTATGCATGCTTGCACGAGTTTTTGGCAACTGTACCCATACCACAAGATACATCCATCATTGCTACCTGGCTAGAATATCCCATCGACAGATGACAGTGCTGTGGCACGTTTGGCTTCTGGTACTGAGATCATTGATGAGGCACGAGAATTTATTAAGTAATAACGTTATTAGAAATTTATACATGAAGAGAAAAAAAAAAAAATCAAAAAATAACTTTTTAGTATAGCGTTCCCCTTTTCTAACCTTAATAGTTTTATTCAAGTGCTGGATTTAAATTTTTCATGGCGTTTCATAGCTAATCAAGCAACATGTTGATTGAGTTCAAAATTCTTTGACAACAAATTATATGAAATTTTCATGTGTAATAATTAAAGCATCGTCAAGTTGTTCGATATCCAAACAAAAAACATGTTAAGGTTGAAATTTAAGAACAACTTGGTTAAAAATAATGATAATTGCATCTTGTGGGTTAAAAGCGTGGTCTCATCTGTTAAAGCGATAAAGTTAGCACGTTTTGAAGGCATATAAATGACGATCTTCAAAATGTTTTTTTTCTTTCTTTTTTTCAGTCTACATTTTTTATCTGTTTAACGCTTTGTATTCATATATCTTTTTATTATTTTTAATTCTCTATTAATATCTTATTGTTTTTATGCACTGCGTTTCAAAGAGCGAAAAAAATAATCATTTCAGTGTTTATTGATAAAAAAAAAATGCTGACCTATTCGATATGCATGATTCTGTCTTGGAAATAAAAAAATCATTTCTTTTTATAAATGACGAGTTAAAAATTAGGTAGGATAATACGTATTAAATAATCAATTGACGTAAGTTAGTCATTTGCGAGATTTCAAAATTTAACTTTTTGTTTCTTCAAATAAAGTTTGTTAAATGCTCAAAAACTATTTCATGCTAACACAAATATCTGTCATTTCGGCTTACTGGTTTGCTTTTTCTCCCCACTCTTCCCGCCGATCAGAGATATGTTAATACCTATATTGTGGGAATTGATCTTGAAAAAATAGTCATGATCATGTTATTTGATCACAATAATTCATTTAAAAATTATATTTTTCTCCCTCTTATCTCATCATCAATGAGTAATGAGTGTGTTCAAATAACATTATCACTTTTTCACATGATAGGATCCATTCCCCTGTACTGTACAGTCTGAAATTTTTTTTTTGATAAGAAAATAATTAACTTTGTATTATGGATATTTATCTTTGAAAATTTTAATTAATATTCCCTATTCTCATAGTTGGATGAATATATAAATTAATTATTTTTTTTGAAAACTAAATTAAATTTTTTAGTATCATTGAAATTGATAACAAAATGTAGTAAATCATCACCCGAAATTTCAAGTAAATAAAATTTACATAAACAATTATCAAATTTTATTAATAAGGATAAAATGCACGTAATTCTCTTCAATTATAGGTTAATTTAAAAAAAAAACATTTATATGGTTTAAAACAGAAATGTATAGAGTGATTTATTACAAAGGTAGCTGTGAGAAAGGCATCTGTCGAAAACTTGGTAGGTAAGTTTGAGGCTGCTAATAGGGTCAAACCTGTTTCAACTATGTGTCTATGTTTTCTTTCGGGTTTGCCATTTTGCTGGTGGGTATAAGGGCATGTTAGTCTATGAATGATTCCTTGATGTTTTAGATGTGATGACAGTTTTAAGTATTCTTTACCATTATCCGTTTGAAGTGCTTTTAATTTTGTGTTGAGTTGTAGTTCTGCCATAACTTTGAATTGAGAAAAAATTACGTATGTTTGTGATCTGTTTTGCATTGGATATATCCAAGTGTAATTTGAATAGGCATCTACAAATATGATGTAATACTTTGAACCAGAAGTACTTGCTACTGGTGCAGGGCCCCAAATGTCAGATAAGACAAGTTCTAGTGGACTTTTGTCAACAGTAGTAGTGGTAGGTAGATGTAATTGATGCATTTTTGCCTTGCAACAAGCACAACACAATTTTGTATCTATTTTATTTGTAAATGGTATATTACAGTGCCTAAGGACCAACTTTACAGTTTGGAGAGAGACATGAGCTAATCTCGAATGCCATAGATCTAGAGTAGAGTTTCTAGATGTATTATTACAAGAAATGTTTGAACAGGTATTTAAAGCCATAGCAGTATAGGTAGGACTTGAATCAGCAGTGAATCTTTTAATGTTTTGTGACTTTGAGCCAACATCAAAAGCATAGAGTCCATTCTTAAGCTTGCCTTGGAGAAGAATCTCCTTGGTAGCCTGAGATTTAACATAGCAAACATTAGCATGTAATTCAAAGTAAACATTGTGCTCTTTGGCAAATTGAGAAACACTGAGTAAATTTTTTGATAAGCTAGGAACATGTAACAAATTTGACAATTGAAAGGATATATGACATATAGTATAACGCAAAATTGAGTGTCCAATGCTTTTGATTTTCAAGTTAGAGCCATTACCTACTTGAACAGTTTCCTAACCATTATATTGTGTTTTGTGTACCAGGTTGCTTGCATCAGATGTGAAATGATTGGTGGCTCCTGAGTCAGGATACCAGCTGGAATCTGTGGCTGAGAAGTAGTCAGAAGGAGTACCGAATTGACTTGAGCTAGCATATGAGGCTGTATCTTCTTGTGGATGTGGACTGGCAGAGTTTGTCACTGCCATATTTGCTTGGAAATTTCCACTTCCAGTGTTGGTGTTGTTGTTGCTATTCTGAGGATAAGAAGATTGAAAGTTCTGAGGATAAGGAGACTGGAAATTCTGATTATACCTGTAGTGGCATTCCCAGCCAAGGTGACCAAACTTCCCACATATTTGGCACTGTGGCCTATTGTTTGCAAAGAATCTGCCTCCTCCTCCTCTTTGGAACCTGTTTCCTTCTCTGTGTCCAGAAAATCTTCCTCTATTCTGATTGAAACTCCCTCTAAAACTTCCTGGAAAGTTATTTTGTCTTCTATTCTGCAGTTGTGTCATGTTTACTTGCATAGATGCTGCAATATTCCTCTTGTGCTTTTTAAGCCTTTGTTCCTGAGCCATTAATAATGCCTCTATTTCTCCTACAGTGTAAGGATCTGATCTGGAAATCACTAATGTTACAAATGAATCATAGTCTTCATTTAGACCATCTAGAATAACATCTATATGATCTTCTGTGTCAACTTTCGAACCAGTGGCAGTAAGGGAGTCCACTATTTCGAACCAATGGAAATAAAAAAATCATTTCTTTTTATAAGTGACGAGTTAAAAATTAGGTAGGATAGGATAATACGTATTAAATAATCAATTGACGTAAGTTAGTTATGTTGCGAGATTTCAAAATTTAACTTTTTGTTTCTTCAAAGAAAGTTTGTTAAATGCTCAAAAACTATTTCATGCTAACACAAATATATGGCATTCCGGCATACTGGTTTGCTTTTTCTCCCCAACTCTTCCCGGGGCCGCCGATCAGCGGTATGTTAATCACCATTTATGCGTGTTCACTTATATCTTTTGGAAAAAAAAATTGATAAGAAAATAATTAACTTTGTATTATGGATATTTATCTTTGAAAATTTTAATTAATATTCCCTATTCTCATAGTTGTATGAATATATAAATTAAATTTTTTTAGTATCATTGAAATTGATAACAAAATGTAGTAAATCATCAGCCGAAATTTCAAGTTAATAAAATTTACATAAACAATTATCAAATTTTATTAATAAGGATAAAATGAACGTAATTCTCTTCAATTATAGGTTAATTTAAAAAAAAAATTATATGGTTTAAAACATCAATGTATAGAGTAATATAAATGCATTATTGTCAAACTAAAACCAAAAATCCTAAACTTACCAAACAAATACAAAGTAGTAAAAATTAACCCCTCATGCATCCAAAAACCCTTGCAGGCGAGAGGTTCTTACATTTTGCATATTTTCGAAGTACTACACTCATTCTAAACATATAGGACATGAACAATATATCTATATGTCATTGGATTAAGATCGAAATATTATGCAATAAAATCTAAATCAAGTCCTAATCATTAGGAGTGCTACAATCAGGATGTGTTTGGTATGGGAAAGTGAAAGTGGGTATTGAGAAATACCATATTTCGCTGAATGCATTCTTGGGGAGGGGGCTGAACCTTTAGCCATCACTGACCCCCGCACTCCGGATTAGTCTCATAGCCGACTCAAAGAGTCGAAGCTTGTGGGGATACCGGAGGGAGCCAACTCGCCTCAAAGAGGTAATTAGGGTTGGGTAACTCCAAAAAAAAAAAAAAAATACCATATTTGGTACAAGTTTGCAAAATAAAATACTAGGGGGAATTTTTATTTATCCGGAAATCTCGATTTTCAAAAATATGATTTTTACATTCAGTTTACGATAATATCTGAAAATTTAAAATTTAAAAAAATTCAGTTTTTCGGGAATCCCTCAAAATCCCGGGTACCAAACGCCCCCTAGGAGATTAGGAAGCATAGAAGACTCTTTTTGTGTTGGTTTTTACTATTCCAAAAAACCATTTGGGGGTGTTTGGTACAGGGAAAATATTTTTTAAACAGGTAAATGTAATTAGTGGATAAATAGTTGTAAATTAAAATAAGTGGAGAAATTTTAAAAATATTGTTTGGTAGACCAAAATATTATCAGAAATTTTTTCTACAATTTACTGGGACTATGTTTGGTTGAAAGTAAAAGATTGATGGGGAAATATGACAAAATATCAAAAATACCCCTAGAAGATTGTTGTTGTAATTTTGCAGTTCACGTTCAATGTTGCTCTGCTTTAAATTTTTGGGAAAGCAATTTTCTTTATAGAGAGGATCTGAAACGATGCTATTACACACTTGAGAAAGGGTACAACTGAATGCCCATCAACCAAACAGGGACACTGTTCCACATGGCTATGAAGGCAAGGAAAGAGCTTTCTCAGATCTTGAGACTAATCATCTCATCAAGGAGGAAGATTGTTCTGTCTGAAAGACAGAGATGTCCAACTGGTGGCTGATATATTTTATGTAGGATCTAGGTGCCCTCTCTCAAGTATTTATGAATGAGATACCCTTAAGGGTAGGCTGATCACCGTGCACAATAATAATCGATATGATCAAGGCGTGGGGTGTGTGCACAGTGACAAGCTAAGAGAGAGGGTTTAGAGAGTGTCCGTACCTTATTGGTTTAACCCTGTATTTATAGATGGGTTACCTGAAGGAGTGTAATTCTGGGCCTCTTAGGAATATTGGGGCCCCAAGTCCAACTGCTTAGCTGTCTGGATAGGATTGTC